GGAAACATTTAATGGAAATAAAAAATAAAGTTAAAATAATAAAAGTGCTTGATGAAAAACAATTTCACATCACAAATTTATTAAATGGTCCTAAAATGGCCTTCATTTTCTATAAAGTATGTCATTTCTTATATTTGTATCAAATTATTTAAAGATTCCTATCATTAGGAAATTGTTTTAGGAATAACGCTAATTTCAATGCTAATGCTAATGGTCTATGCACAAGTCACAGATTTGAAGGTGAGTGAGCTATACTGCAGTGTATATAATTTGTTACTTTTGGCTGGGTTTTGCAGCTTTGATGAAAACATGCAGTGCTGGCTGTTGTGTCTTTTTCCACTCTGTTCTGACTAACATTTATACTCCTTTTTCCCTCTGTTTTCCCTCTCTCCTCTCTTTTCCGCTGCCCTCAGTTTGGATGTATGGCCTTCAGGACAGTCCAACAAAGTCTGAGGCCTCAGGTAGATATGCGATATACGTGTGTGCATGTCACTTTTCCTTTTGCAACTCTTCAATGTGGTAATTTTCTAGTTTTTACAAGTACAGTTCCTAAAAGAGTTCCTTGCCCAGGGTCCAAAATTAACACTCGTCAAGCGCCAAATCAAAATTAGTCAAATGCTATTAATCACCATTTGGCTGGTAACTTCATTAGGAACTGTAACATAAAACACAGATTTAATCGTGTTATTACAGTGAGCCTGATGTAAGCAATCCAGAAATTACATTTTGAAATTAATATAATGATAAATATGGCTTCTAATTTGGGACAATGCAGTAAGCAAGTGGTGTGTGGATGGGCATGACTATGGGAATTTAACTGGCCAAAGAGTCATAAAATGTTCTCCTAAGATATTTACATGAGGATGTAAAAACCTCTTCAGTTTTGATTCCAAAACTGGAACTTTGTTTTTAAGAGCAAGAGCTCATTTAGCAGATCTTAGAGGTCTGCAGGTTTACTTGTGGCTTATAAAGTTTATGCTAGAAGACGAAATATTTAGGATAGGTGTTGTAAGGCCAGCAGCGAAGAGGAAGACATTCAGTGTGAAAACGGAGGATGTAAAACATGACGAGAGCTTGTGGTCTCCCCTCAGTGCTCTCCCGGGAAGTCTTATAGATGACGGCCTGCAAATAACCATTTCAGAAAAGAATACGCTCTGTTTTCAGAAATAAATGCTGACGCTCACAGAACTACAGCCCATGTGGAGTGTGTTTTCACCATGATCATCACACACACCCTACATATTTGGGCAATTTCCTGCAAAATAAAGAAAACACACTGATTATGTAACACATATAATTTGCTTGTGCACGTGCTTTCTAAAACCATTTCATAATCCGGCTTAAGAATGGTGGTTTCTAACTTTTCCCAGCTGGTCATTAGATAGTAAGCTTGTTTATTGCTAGTAAAAATAGGGTGACCAGACGTCTCCATTTTCCGGGACAGTCCCGGTTTTTGGTGTCCTGTCCCCGTTTTACACCATGTTTAGGACAAGAGCAGAGTGCTATTATCATCAATTATCAAAAGAAACACCGTTATTGGTTTCAAGGTAGTCACATACTAACTATATACATGTTAAAACAAAGTAATACTGTTTGTGTGCACTTTATAACAAGACATGATAAGGTTGCGGGATTGTTTGCACACAGCATTAAACATTCCTCAAACACGATTCCGATATGAATAATGTAAAAAAAACAAAAAACAATTACATCTGCACAATTACATTTGCAGAAAGCACACACTTGAGCCTAAAATGCAAAATAATAAGCCTGATTGGGGATTGTAAAGATCCAAAAGCAAGCATAAATATAAAATAACAATTGTAATAACAATAATTGTGTTCCTTGTGATGTTGTGGTGACTCAGATTGAAGTGAAATATTTCTGCGATTGGCACAAACACCGTTAAAATGTCAGAATTATATTTCACAGTTCACTTCAGCACAGCTGCAAGCATTCAGTTGAGCAATACAGTATGTTGTCATGTTAGCATGACATGGCGCCATGAAGTGTGAGGCAGTGCTAATTAGCTTGTTCCATACCGATGGTGATAGTGACAAGATACAGAACTACTGCTCTCTCGCTTCTCACAGCACTGAGCGTCTGCACTCAAAGGATTCTCCAGTAATCCAGATTTAAAAGCCCATAGTGTTAAAACACATTGCGCTAGCAACACAGACACACTGTTGGCATCATGACAGCTTGATGTTGACTGAATACAAGACCAGATTTTATGTTAATTGAGTTTTGTACAAAACATCATTATTTGATGACCCAGAAGGGTTACAGACCATTACGGACTACAAGCCCCCACCACGCACCTGTGACAGCACCATCTCCCTGCCGAACGAGCTGAACGTCTTCTTCGCTCGCTTTGAGGCACAAAACAGCACCACTGCACAGAAGACTCCACCTCCTCTGTGCCTTGTGCTGCTATATATATTTTTTTACATTTTACCTTATTTGTATAGTTGTATTTTATATTTAATCTGTATCTATCTGTATTTATGTTCTACTGTTAGTGTTATCTGTATGCACCAAGGGTCTGAGAGTAACGCAATTTCAATTCTCTGTGTGTACGTGCTGTACATGTGGAAGAATTGACAATAAAGCAGACTTGACTTGACTTGACTTGACTTGACTTGACTTGGTTCAATAATTTTAATTGGGACAGTGACAACCTCAAATGCCAGTATCAAAGGATATTCTTATACCATGGTATTCACAAACATTGGGCACATAATCCATGGTTCGTTTCCAAACAAGACATGTTAACACCATTGTAAATGCTTATATGTGCTTGCATGAGGTACAGCAAATGCACCCACCATCTCTTTGGATAAATTGTTAAAAAATATGGTACATTTTATGTTTCTGTAAGAACATTTGAAATATTTCCTATTTAAAGCCTCTAGTTTTCAGAAGACCACACTATGTGAAAAACAGGGAGAACACAACCACACGATGTTGGAAGATCAAGCGCATATAAGAAACTACAAAAATAGTTCTCAGAAGTACAAATACACCATTTGAAGTTTTAGTAACTATGCAGAAAGTCTTGAAATGCATAAGCCAGAAACGTTTGATGTGTTATACTTTGGATATTTTAGTTTACAAACAACATTAAACAGCATGTTCAAACTATTTTATTGCTGTAATGTAAATTACATAAAAAAAATTTTAAAAAGATATTCAATGGAAAATACACTACAAAAACTGAAAAGATTTTTTTTTTAACATATTTGAAATAAGCCTCTTAAGGCACTGACAGACGCAGACAAACAGCAACAAACATGTTTGTCCGGTTTCATTGAATCAGTGTTTTAACCCTGTCGGCGTCTATCGGTGTGTTTTCACAGATTGAACACGTTGAACCAGCATTTGTTGGGTTTTGTAATGTCTGAGAAGGGACGTACTGTTATCCAGTGACTGTTGCCGTTGTCTGCATCTGCATCGGTGCAGTGTGAATTGACCTTTATGCTCACCAGAGATGCATTTATTTAATCAAAAAACAATAAAAATAGTAATATTGTGAGACTGTTACAATTTAAAATAACTTTTTTTTTTTATATATATATATAAAAATGTGATTCATTCCTGGGATGCCAAGCTAAATATTAAGCAGCAGTCTTTCAGTGTCACATGATCCTTCAGAAATTATTGTAATATGCTGATTTGGTGCTCAAGAAACATTATTATTATTATTAAACATTATTATTGTTAATGTTATGTTAAAAACAACTGTGCTGCTTAATACTTCATGAAACACATTTTTTAAGATTCTTTGATGAATAGAAAGAACTGAATTTATTTCAAATAGATTTCTTTTTTTGTAACAATGAAAGCATGTAAACATCAACTTTACAGTCAGTTTTTGAGTAATTTAATGTAGGTGGGATGTAATTTATTCATTAGAATTATGGAAATTCTACTTGTTCATTCTACTGATTTGGTCATGGCACATATGGTCATGTGACCACTGAACTCATAAAGGGATAGTTCACACAAAAATGAAAATTCTCCCATCATTTACTCTTCCATCATTCTGAAGCTTGAAAACTCTTGTCCTCATTCACTTTCATCATATGTATATGTATATGTATATATATATATATATACACAGTATATATATATATAAAAATAGGAATTCACCTTCTGTTTTACAGAATAAAGTAAGTCATACAGGTTTAGGACAACATAAGGCTGAGTAAATAATTACAGAATTTTCTAATGATCTCTTTAAGTCATTGATGAAGAAGAACTGGTTAAAGAGATTGTGAGAGGAAATACAAAAAGAAAGAGAGAAGTATAGAGAAAGAGAGCGTGGCTTAACCCCAGCTGAAATGCTTTCTTTTTGCGTTTCACAAACACAGCTTCTCTCTCTTTACTCGGCCCACTCATATGTTTCTATTTAAGGCTTGGAGAGCAGTCTACCCTGATTGGCGTTTTTCTCTCTCTCCCCGTTTCAGCCAGATGGGAGGAGGGATGGAGAGAGAGAGAGAGAGTTTGAAAATGAGAAAGGGAGGGCAGGAGAGAGGGAGGGAGGCCTGTTCTTGCTCGTCTGTTGAAGAAAAACTTTCTCTCCCTCCACTCGCAAGTCACATCCCCTACTGTAAACAGCTCTCTCCCAGCCTCTTTTCCCTTCCTTACATTCCTCCCTGCTTCCTCCCAAAAACCTTCACTGTATTATGGAGACCCAGCATCACCAAGACCTTATCGAGCTCTCGAGCCTCTGAAGGAAGTCTACCTCGCCTTGTTTTTGTGTAATCTGCCTTTCCCCCCATTCAAATGCGCGTCCAGCGAGGACGAAGGTTCGTCTAAATGGCCCGTCATTGCGGAGCATGCACAGTCAGCAGGAGTTTGATTTGCGCTAGGCTGCGGAGTGAGGATGGCGGTGTACAGGGGTCAAGCTGGAGGTCGCTGGCAGGGCAGGGTTGGCGGGGGAAGTGCGGGGATGGCGGGACGGTGGCTGACAGCCTGTTTCTTCCCTTCGCCGGCAGGACCGGACAGCAGTGAGCCCATGGTGCTGGAGCAGTACGTGGTGGTGGCCAACTACGAGCGGCAGGAGAACTCGGAGATCAGCCTGAAGGCTGGAGAGACGGTGGACGTAATCGAGAAGAGCGAAAGCGGTGAGTCCTTCGCACACACTAGAGCTAATTGGCTTACCACGTGGATTTTATTGGCGAAAGCTTGTGTATACACAGACACACAGAGTCGCCTGCACACATGAATGCTTTCAGATGCTCAATGATCAAAATGTCAAGTGGGTCTTGTTTTTTGCCTCCATGTCTTTTCTGATACATTCCTCCTCTTTGATTGTATAACTCCTCCTTTGGTCTTTGTCCTTAAGATCCCCTGGTTTCCTCTTCTGACATCCCCCTCTCCCTGTTTAAATCCACAGTTTTGTTCTTGGCTCCACCTGGAGGTGTCATATGGCCAGTTATCTTGGCGGTTGGTCGGCCTGAACCCCCTATAGATCTCTAGGATGGAGGCCAGACTGATCTGGAATGTCCGTGAGATAGGCATGAGAAGTCTGTGGGTTGAAACGTGTGCTAATGGATCAGGGTCACACCGATAAGAGTTCATGCAGAATGCAGAGACTGACAACAGCAATGGAAAGTGTAGAAAGAAATCCTTGATTGTTGTTTTTATCCCTTTAGTTACTGTTTTCCCAGATGAATGTTCTTGCTAATGCTGTAAATGTTCAAACTTAGTGCAAACTGTTCATGCTAGCGTATCTCGTAGCCTTGTACAGAAGAGGTTGAACATTGACTCTTCCAATGAACTATTTCTGCATGGTTGCCAAACATTTGAACGTAGTGTTGTTTGCACATCCAGAGAGCTAGCAATTATAAAAACAGGCTCTTAAAATCTAGCATCTTACTGTTGTGAGTAATCATTTGATCTTTTCCCTTAAATCATACGGAAGAGGGTGGGAAGGATTAGGAGGAGTTGTCAAGATCAAGATGAGCAAAGATCCAGTAAACCCATTTGAACTTAATAACATCATTGAGTAAGACCAACTCAAAGAGGGCTTGACCTTCTGGTTTCAAACATAATGCTTTGTCTAAACTAGTCTAGACTCTGTCTCATGGGCGTTCTCTATGAGACACTTTATTTTGAAGTTTGTTTGCTGCCTGTTCTATTGACTTTGGGTGTTTTCATGCTGTAAATTCAGACAAGTGTTTACTTTGTAGATTTTTTTTGCAATGACAACAAATAGGCCAGTTTTTCAGAATATCTAGAGGAAACATTCTTGCTTTTCCTTTGGATGAATACTCAGAGCTAGAATACATTATGACCATCATAGAGTAAAGAGGGTAATGCATTACAAGTAATGCAAGGCTACGTAATCAGATTACTTTTTCAAGTAACTAGTAGCTCATTGCTAATAAATAATGAATAAGTAACGCAAGTTACATTGTTTTCCCATTTATTCACTGACTGTACTTCTGTCCCCGTGTTGAGAGAAATTGCGAGTAAGGATGAGGCACTTCCTTTAGCCTAAGGCTTATCAATTTCACTTTTGGTGTGAAAAAAACTTTAAAAATATAACAATATAAATATAACTTTTGGGTTTTTTGTTATTAAAAAACAAATAAGCAAGCCCAGCCCAGGTGGCAATATCGTAATGCATTACTTTTAAAAGTAACTTTCTCCCACACTGTTCATCAGCTGCAAAAAAGGTAATTCTGAAAGTGATTTCACTATTATTTTTTAAAACCTTATAGTTATTGTTAAAGTTATTGTTCTTGGTGTGACTGGCCTTTCTTTTTACTGTAGATCACTGGTTTATTTGTTTAAGCTGAGTACAGATTTTCAGGTACAATGAATTATACTCACTGATTTTCACAATTGGACGAGTCATTTAATCACAAAAGATTCAGAGAGATTCAGGCGAAAGATTCTCGCTCAGAATGTGGTTGTCCTTGAGTAAGAAACACTTGGCTTCCTCAGCCCTAGTTAAACTCCAGCTGTTTTACAGTGCAGGCAAAGCATGACAACTTCACTTGGGTTGGGAAGAGGTGAACCATGCAGGGCTACAGGATTAATGAGCTTGAGAAACAGAAGCAGAGAGTGTCTGAATGGAAGAAAAGAACGGAATCTAAACACAGAATCGTTTAAAGGAATAGCTCACCCAGAAGAAATTAAGTCATACATGTTACGAAGGTGAACAAATGATGACAGAATTGTTATTTTTGAGTGAACTATTCCTTTAAATCAGCCTGAGGCAGCCTGGAAGGCCAATTCCTGGAGTGAATTGTCTGTCCTCCATTGATTCCAAAATTCCTCAAATGTTCAAAGCACTTATTGAAATTGAAGATGAGCTGCAGCAGCTTGATATCTCAGCACTAGAAACCCATCCTCCAGAATCCGATCTCTTCAGCAGGCTTCCATATTTTTGTACTATAGTATTCAATGACTACCCTAGTGCAGGGGTTTTCAACCTTTTAGGACATGCGCCCCCCCAAGTTTGTCTAATTTCACTCGCGCCCCCCCAACATCCCCCGGTATTACTGTAGTCACACCGAATTACTTTATTAACATAAAAGCAAATATCCATTAAAGC